GAGGGAGTATTAAAATGTCAGTTATTAAAGGTGGTTAAACAGCTGAGTGATGGACTGACAGAAAGAAAGCTTTCACACTGTTGCTCAACACAAGGTTGATGAGGATGTTACATAATTTAAATGACTGTAGAGACTTAAGCTACAAAAACAAAAATGTTCTTACCTTACTTAAATAAATAAATAAATTGAAGGAGCAGCTGAACAACAGCAGAACCACAGTAAAAACTTATTTTTAATATTTAAGTCCAATGAGAGGTTGAAAAATCAAAAGGAAAAAACAGCATTAATCCACTCTTCTGGCTGTCAGCTCACATCATGATACAGCAGACAATATCCCTCTGTACAAATCAGTTTTCTTCTAATAGCCTATCCATCTTTTGTTCTTCCTCTGATTTTATTTGTAAAAGCTCTACAGACAGTCCATCATGACTTCATGTTTTCTCCTCATTGTAAAAACTTCCATAACAAGCTGAGCTGATGGTGCTGCAGGAGGCAGAGGTTTGTCTGTGATGCCTTTAATAAGTGGCAAAATAACCGATTTTTGAGTATTGATGTTGGAGCACAGATCCAGCTGGTCAGGCTGACTGATAATACTGCATAAGGCATGTCAATGTGAGATAACCACACCTGATTTAGTGGCCTTCTCCAATCAAAACATGCTGCAGTTAGAGACAATTAAACTATCTGTCAAGTGAGGTTAGCTGGCAGAGCATGCATGCCACCATCTGTTAGTGACAGACCATTTGCCTCTCTGACCCCATATGGGCCTTTTGAGGCAGAGTGGACCTTGCCAATGCAATCTGTCACTCATGGGGACCAGAAACACTAGAGTGGGGGAGGAATGAGCATTATGCAGATTATAATTCATTTCTGTTGTCACTAGCTGGTTTCCTCTACTGTTTATAAGAAAAGTTGCATTCAGAAGAATTTACAGAAAAAAAAATCCACCTTTTAAAAAACCTAATTGTGACAAATAACCATACAAAAACAACAAAACGTGAGTTCTAATATTTTACACGGTGCGCAGCGCTGCGGCTTCTGAATAAATGAAAATGATTTAACACAGTTGTTTATACTTTTAGCAGCTCTTTTTATCCCACAGCTGACCTGCAAAAAATGACAGATTTTCTTTTCTGGATCTCTGACAGACGGACTTCAATCTCTGAACTCGTAAAGTTCTTTTACGTTTTTCGCTGTAATTTTCATGAATGAATGGACACTTCCTTGTATCTGAGGCAGGAAACAGCCTTATATGGTGTTTTTGGGGTGGTAATTATACTAATCTCCTCTCACGTGCACGAGCAGCTGGATAGAACAGGTGGAATTTACGCAGCTCATTTACGCACTTTTCCTGAAGATAGAAGAGTTTGTTGAATCTGACGTGACATGTTCGTACGAACCCTTTGTACGAACAAAAGTAAAAAAAATTTAGGAGAAGAATACGAACATGTTCTTGCATGAGGCCCATTGATTGGTCAAACACAACATCAGACAGCTGGGTATAAATGACCATTTGCTGCCTGATTAGTGGAACCATGCTGTTGTGGCTAAGATCAGACTTTCTGTCTTTTCTGAGCTTAACTGAAAGTTATATTGGTCACTCATAAGAAATAAGATTGAAATGAATGTTGTGCTTCACCCTTCAGAGAGGAAATAATGCTTAAGGCTGGCAGTCTTAGTTTATAAATATCCTTGCGATTAGGTGGAGGCTGGCTGCGGTGAAGTCCTCTGTCTTATTCCCGGTAGAAACAGCTTTACAGCCCGCACTATCTGCAGGAACACGTCAGATAAAGAACGTTGGTAGATTAACGCTTATCACTACATTTAAAGCAAGCTTGTGTTGTTTGCTTGATGCCCTGATGTAAAGAAACCTAGTATGTATACACATTTGATCTTGTTCTTTCACTCACGAGCCAGGCCTCATGACTATAAGTGAGGGTTGAAACATAGCCAGAGCAGTTAATTAATAGCTTTGCCTTTCAGCTCAGCTCCTCAGTCCAAAGCAATGCTAACATTACTGCAGATAAGGCCCCCAATCTGTTGATCTATCTCCCAAGTCATCAGTTGTGAGCAAGGTTTCCAAACACTTGAAGTCCTCCACTTGAGGCCGAAACTCAACCAAACCCAGAAGGAGCAAAACATCTTTTTTCTGGTTGAGAACCATGTACTCAGTCTTAGAGAGGAGCTGACTCTCACCCCAGCTGCTTCACACTCCGCTGTGAACCGACCCAGCTCACAGTGAAGATCTGGGCCTGAACACTTCAACAGGATGGTAACATCTGCATAAAAAGCAGAGATAAGAACCTGAGGTTTCCAAACTTGACATCCTCCTATTCATGACTGCACCAAAGGACAGCTCTCTCAGAGTCCATCCTAAACAAGACCAAGCTTGAGTGGTTTTGTTTTGGTTATACAGGGACTGGATAGCCATTAAATGTGACCCTGGCAGCCCCATATACACCCCCACTCCCCTTCTTCACAAAATGCCTCAGGGAACATGGTTGTAAGACTTCTTCTAATCTATAAAACAAATGGGACTGAACAGTCAGACTCCCATGACCCCTTAAACATCTCTGCAACACTAAACATCTAGTCCACTGTTCCGCGACCTGGACGAAAGCCATGCTTCTCCTCCTGAATCTGACTTTTGACAATCAGTCGGACCCTCTTTTCCAAAATCCTGGAGTAAACCTTTCCAGGGTGGCTGGGAATCCCAGATAGTTGAAACACCATCTGGTTCCTTTTTTGAAAAATGGGGAGCACTACCCTGGATAAAGATAAAACAAATGGGTATTTTTATTGCATTTTAGCAGATTAGTTTAACAGTGTGCACTTTTTCTTTCACAGCGTACGTATGGTGCCAGTATTGTTTCATCAAATTTTTTTTATGTCCTTATTTTTAAAACGGGCTCTAATTTGATCAGATCTTGCCAAGGTGGTGTTTGTCCCATATGCTCATGTGTTGATTTAATGGGTGGTACTGTTAAGTGGCCAATGTAAAGAGAAGAGAACTGAATGGTTCTGTGCTGTAGTAGATTTCAGTAATTTGAATAAAAATGACTAAATAAGTGTTGATATTAGAGGTGGAACAAAATCTTGACACAAGATCTTGCAAGACTAAAAGGTCGTAAAGGGGACATATCATGCAAAATCCACTTTTTTAGCTGTTGAATACATTTTGTTGTGTACTTGGAGTCTTTAGAGTGCAGAAAAGTTTAATTTAGTCTATCCCAGTGCTGCAAAGATATCTTTATATTCTTTTTGGGTCATGTTTTTCAGCTCGTTCAGTAGGGTTGAGCAATATTGGCAAAAAAAAACAAAACAATTAATTGTGGTATTTAGCCGATAACGATTAATTTGACGATTAATCCCCTAGAGTCCCTGGACACCCTTATGTCCTAGTCACATGACCAATTTAGTGGAAAATACTTGCTCTTCATAAAAAAAATTTCCAAATTGGGTCGAAATCACAGACTTGAGACTATACTTCAAATTTTAAATTGTGTTGATAGATAAATAAATTAGAACTTTTGTTTAAATGTTCGTCATATTTGAAGCGGAGAGGAACACTGAGCGGACTGACCGGGGAAATATCCAGTCAGTCTGCCTGGTGGCATTAATCGTATTAATTGTCAAGTGCCAAAATTAATCGATTAATGTCTTTCTGACGATTAATTGCACACAATACGATTATGCCCAACCCTATCGTTCAGTTTTCTCCATTTTCTATGTATTACATCAAATTATCTGGGACAGAATTGCCAAACTAGATCTGGATTTACCAAACTACAATTTCTTCGTTTTAATTCTCCTGTCATTCTGGGTTTCAGACTCTGGCTCGAACATGTAAGGCTGGATGGACAAGTCTTCCGTTGTTGACATCTTTTAATTAAATCATAAATAAAAAGTTTCTGTAAGCTAGAAAACGTTACCTCTTCAAACCAAAGCATTGCAGTTCCACTTTAAAAAGACCCCAACTGAATGATTTAAATGTGAAAAGGAAGGATTTAAAAGCATGATATGTCTACTTTAGACTGACCTGTGACCAAAACAAAAAACCCGTCCTGTGAGTCTCCCTGTTAAAATGAGCACTACGACTGTAAGTCATATGTGTAGCAGCAGTTTATATAGACCCATCAGTTACCAGGACCAGAGCAGTCCCTTAACTTAACGTACTCAATTTAAGATGTGTTGTGAAGTCAGTTTTCCCCACTCTCCTGCAGCTTTGTATGGAGATGAATCTCTATTGCAGGATTATTTAAATGCTGAGTTCACATGGTGATTTGTCAACTTTGAAATGGCAAAAATAAAGTTTGAACCTCTCAGTTTGTGTAAAGGAAGAATGTTGATCAAGCTTTCAGATGGGTTAAAAAAATCAGACTTATCCTAAAGTAGAACGAGAGGCAGAGCTTTCAGTTCTCAGGCTCCTCTCGTTGAACAAACTTCAAGTTTCTGTTTGTGTCGATGACACTCTGTCTACTTTTAGCACTATGCTTAAGAATTTCCTTTTTGATAAATCCTGTAGTTATCTCTTAATTCCTCTGCTATAGGCTTAGACAGCTGGAGGACAGACTGACCACAATCTGCTGCTGTTTTTACTCTCTCTACTCTCCATGTTTGAATTTCAACATGTTTTCTTTGTCTTTATTCCTGTATAAACAACACCTGGACTAGCCTTTTTGTGTTTGTTTGTGTCTCTTTCCTGTCCTCTCAAACCCAGCCGGTCGAGGCAGATGGCCGCTCGTCCTGAGCCTGGTTCTGGTTCTGCTGGAGGTTTCTTCCTGTTAAAAGGGAGCCATTCCTTTCCACTGTCTCCAATGTGCTGCTCAGGATGAGGGATTGTGACGAAGTAAAAGAATTCAACACAGTCTGCTGGCTTCCTTTGACAGATACATTTGACTAATTGGCAGATAGATAAAAAGTCTGATTTGGACCAAATCTATGTTTCATGACTTGCAAGGAACAATTAGCTGTCATTAATGAACCTCTCTGTTTTTTAGGCTGGGTGTGTGCGTGTTGACCTCATGGTGTAACAGGATTAAAGATGAGCATTAGCAGTGATGAGGTCAACTTCCTGGTCTACAGATACCTACAGGAGTCAGGTACGACAACTGTGTCTGCACACAGCTTTTATCTATGGCCTCTTTTACAAGACAGTTCCACAAAATCTCTGCACAAACCAGTCTGGCTTTAAGCTCTCTCGGGTTATTCATAAATCACAGGAGAAGCTGGCCAGGTCCAGCTCACATGTACACGTTCAGAAATTAACCCAGCAGCGTGGAACCAAGAGGCGTGGAGCAGATCTCAGCTCAGCTGAAGTGGACGTCAACGTATTTCAAACACAAAACAAGCTGAGTTAACTTATTTTAGTGATCCTGTCGGTCAATATATTTTAAACTAACTGCAAAGTTGTTGTTTCGCATCATTTTTTATATTCCCTCAGTAATAAACCCGTTTGTTGATTAATCCTGCCGTCGCTCAGTGATGTCATCAGCTCATTATCATTTTCTGAGTCGTGGAACCGCGGATTGCTTTTTCACAAGTTGGTCTGCCCAACTCGGGCCCGGCTCTGATACCTCCTCTGGTGGCTCAGAGGGGTGTCAGAGGCGGGCTCCCTTTACCCCACTGCCACCTCCGTGTTTTTTCTGAATGATCTGAGGAGGACTGAACATGCGTCAATCCCACACTGAGCTGTCTTATGAATGAGGCTAATATTTAATTTTAAGCCCTAAAGTCTTAAACTTTGCTTTTGGGAAGACACTTCCTTTTATAAAAGTCCAGGATGTGTACAAGAATAAACAAGAATATCAGCCTTGATTCTGTTGATTAAACCTGTTTTACACAACACTCACTGTCATCAACTTCCTCTCTTTACTAATAGAGTCTCATAAGCTGAACAGTAATGACTTGTGTAAATACGACAAACTAATTTGTCCTTTTTGTTTAATTTAGTAAGACTTGTATTTCAAATTGATGTCTTAAAAAAGAAAATCTGCAAGGGTGCATTTGTTTCCTTATACACCTAGTCCTATTCAAACCAAATAAAGTCCTTTGATTCTTATAGATTTTACTGTACTCTCTCATAGATGTTCAGAACTCCACCGGAACTCATCTTAGTCACACAAAAAAAAGTTCTAATACTTTTAGAATTACATTAATTAATACTCGGCAAAATTTGGCTCAGTTTTCCATGAGTTTACTATGACTCCCAAGTGTCACCAACTAATCACTCAATGGCAGCCAAGTGAGATACAAGTGCAGAATGCAACATTAACACGTTTCCTTCGGAAACATTTCTCATATACTGTGGCCAAACTGACTAAAGCTTATCATCAAAAGCCAACACCTCAATGCAAAGGTGTAATATTTTTGTATCCATCAAAGGCAGCTGCAAGTCACTCTTTAACTCTGAGAGTCAGATGTGTTTGTGAGAGGATGCTGAGAGTAGACACAGGTAGAAGACTTGTTTCACAACTTGCTGCAAGAAATGAAGGACCTGTTGATGATGATGGACTTGTTCACCGATCTACAACTAGAGCTGATGGATCGGTGTCTTCACGGACCATTACACCTGTTACATGTTTGTGCTTTTCCTCTTCAGGGTTCTCTCATTCAGCTTTCACCTTTGGTATAGAAAGCCACATCAGTCAGTCCAACATCAACGGTGCTTTGGTGCCCCCTGCTGCGCTCATCAGCATCATTCAGAAGGGTCTGCAGTATGTGGAGGCTGAAGTCAGCATCAATGAGGTGGGTCACAAGTTTAGATACTTATAGTGTTGGATTAGTTTGAAAAAGTGGTGGAAATGGTTTACAAAATCCACAGTTCAGTTTGGTTTTTTTATATCGGTGGTTCCCAGCCTTTTTAGACTTGTGTACCCCCTGAGCCATTTTGTCACCACTAGTACCCCCTTTGTCAAACGTAATGATGATTCTCCAAAACTATAATGTACAACAGCTGATTATTAAATGAAAATTATTTATTTAACGCCCTAGAATGTTTAATTCTTAGGCATTTTATTTTTTTCAACTCAAATTCAACATAAACATAAAAACGTTGCCTTGAAAGTGAGTAAGTAATTAAATAAATGGACCCGGTAATGGTAGGTGCAGAACACAGCAGAGTCCAAAATACTTTGTATTGCCCAAAATATGACAGAAGCTCACCCAAACTCACCCAAATGAACGTTCCACATTTTATACTGGATTTCATTTTGTGTTAATTCTGTGATTTCGTTTGCAATTTCCGCATTGCAGAAATCATAGGGCTCTACAAATCTCAGTCCTATTTTTATAAAAATTTTTACAACTGGGAAATTTTTCCACGTACCCCCTGTGATATGCTCACGTACACGTACCTCTATTTGGGAATCATTGTTTTAAAGTAACCGTTTTTAGTTTGTTCAGGTTTTTCTTTTTGTGCTTCTTCCTATTTTAGAAACACACCAGAAGCACCATCCATCAGTAACAGATTGCATGGCGTAGCATGATTTTTGTTCTTGGAAATTAAATGTTATTTCCCAATGTCTATATTGCGAAACAATAAAAAAATGCCTCTTATTCTTTTTAATTTTTGCTTTTGTGGCTTACAGGATGAATTAATCAATACTGTGGCAGACTTCCATAGTTTATTTGAAAATCAATAGTAACCTGATATTACATTAAGAAAAAAAAAGAAAATTTGTAAATTCCATGTCAAACAAAAAAAAAAAATAAAAGTTTTAAGAAAACTGATATTTTTCCCATTTTATCTAGTTATAAAGAATAAAAAGCTAAAGTTTTAACCCATGAACAAGACAAAAGTGAAATTGTGTTTTGTAGCGTGAATCAGTATTTACAGCAGTGAAAACCAATCCTGGTTCCTGAAAGCCAGGTTCTGTAGAAACTTGTTAATCACTCTTTTTTTTTTTCAAATCAGGTGTGTCAAAACAGAGCTTCAAATATGCAGTTATAACACATACTTAACATGATCATGATCTGATGTTAAACAAACCCATCCTTGTTTTTTTTTTTACTACCAAATGTCTTATTCCACTTCTAAAGCTGCAACGTCCTAAAAACTGTCTCTTTTCTACTGATGTGTTTATTTATTTATCGTTATTTTACCAGGCAAGTCCCGTTGAGATCTCAGATCTCTTTTTCAAGGGGGGCCTGTGTGTGTGTGATGTGTTCTCATGAGAAGGTTGTTGAAGTGAGGTGTACTGATAAAGCATACTGAGAAGTTTTCCCCCAAATCATAGGCATTGTTCTGTGATAAAATTGGTGCTCACTGCTCAGTGTTAAATGTAATAGTCTCTGGATGCTTAAGCAAACCCCTTTATCACAGTTGGTCTTGTCCAAACATGTAGGTTATTAGGAAAAACCCAGATTCCACCCGTGTTCCACACAAGTACTGAAGCGGATAGTACACACGTCTTGGATCAAGACAGATGAAACAAATGGTTCTTTTTTCATAAACAATTCTTTCAGTTTTTTTTAATCACTTCTCAAATGGCAGCAGCAAGATGTCAACTGTGTTGATTTTTACATAAACTGTTGAGCAATCTGAGACCATTCTTCTCCATGAACAGCAGAGGGGATGAAGATTATGCAGCAGATACTTTAAAATTTTGATTAATGAATGCTTTAAACTGTATTAATGTTATAATCAAAATGTTAATGATCAGAATGTTAACCTAAACTGTTGCTTTATAAAATACTGATTTATTGTTTTGTTGAAATATTATAATGATCATATGTGACAAGAAGGGCAGACAGGTTAGTACAGAGGAGAGAAAGACTGAATGAAGAAGATGATGATTTATGTGATTACAGATGATTGAGTGTTTTCAACGTCATCAGAGGTTTTATACTTTTAATATAATAAGTTGTTTTAAAACCTAAAAGTTAAAAAAATTATGTTTTATGCTGATTACGAGTTTTGAAAGCTGATGTCATGAGTTGAACTATGTGTGTTTGTAACACAAGTTGGTTCCTGTTTCATGCTGTTTCTCAACAGTGTACATGACATGAAACATGTTTTCAGGAAACTGGTTGAGAAATGAGCAGAAGTCATTTAGTTACTATAGAAATGGACTTAAGTAGAGTAATATCTGTCATGAGCAAACTATGAGGGAGGTACAGTACTTTAAAAAAAGAAGAAGTGTCCAATAAGATAAATTAAGTCTTTGACTGAGCACAGTGTGGTATTCCTCTGCAAACATCGAGACCAAGCAGACCTTAGAGGTCCAAACTTGAACTGTGGTGTACTGACTTCACCTATTTCTTAACCAGTTTCAGTCCATTATAGTTATTTTGTCTGACTGGAGGTACACGTTAGTAAAATCCTGATGTAGAATGTGGATTATCAGGGTGGACAGGTCTCAGTCTGCTTCTCAGCTCTGAACGGTCTCACGTCTTCACCTGCAGGATGGCACGTTGTTTGACGGACGGCCAATTGAGTCCTTGTCCCTCATCGATGCGGTGATGCCAGATGTGGTTCAGACAAGGCAGCAGGCTTACCGGGACAAAATGGCCCAGCAGCAGGCTGCAGCTTCAGCACCAGCATCAACAGGGGGAAGCAGCGTAGCTGGGAACCCCAAGAACGGAGAGAGTACTGCCAACGGGGAGGAGAACGGAGCTCATGCCTTAGCGAGTGAGAGACACATAAGAAACGACAGATTTTTCTGCAAATTTTATTTTCTGTTCAGGATCATTTAGAGCTCAGAATTCTGGCTTTCTGCTATTATTTTTGTTAGACATAATTAATGAATTCCAACAACTCTGTCTTTAGATAACCACACAGATTTGATGGAAGTGGATGGAGACGTAGAGATTCCTCAAAACAAGGCCATGGTCCTGAGGGGTCATGAATCTGAGGTCTTTATCTGTGCCTGGAACCCAGTGAGTGACCTGCTGGCATCAGGGTGAGTTCACTCTGTTTTCTTCTAAAATGTTTTGTTAATACTGAGTCCTGTTGGAAAGTTTAAATGAGCAAAAAATGTCCTAATCATGGAGCTGACCAAACAACATTACACTTCTAAATTAAATGTGAAGCACCTAAACATCTCAGTTAACTGAATTCTAGTGTGAGAAAATCAGGTTTGATACTGGGGATAATAAATAAATATAATGGCTTTCCACAGTAGTTTTCAAATGCTGTGTCCCAATTCAGCGGCTGGGTCCTCATGAGTGCGCATTTGTCGGCCGCATACGTCACTGCCCCGCGCGGAGGACTGTCCCAATTCGAAGGCTCCTCATCACGCGGCCGAGGAATGCGTCCTACTTCCTGTCGAAATCCAAGGATGCATCCATGTATCCTTACCAGCCGAGGATATCCCAGGATTCAATGCGCGGGCAGCAAAATAATCTGAGAAATGAAGACAGTGGTGTTTTTATTTTTTTAACGTGTCGGCGCAGTTTGGAAATTCACCACGGACCGAAGGATTTGTTTTTTAAAAGTAAGTTTAGCAACTTAGCTGATGAAATTTATGCTGCAATAACATGTTAAATAAAAGAAAATGTAAGTTACGAGAATAAAGTATAAGAATAAAATCATAACATTATGAGAATAAAATCGTAATATTACGAGATTAAAGTCATACTACAAGAAAAAAGTCTTAATATCCTAGCCTTTACGTGAAAAAGCATGCAGTCATCACTGTATTAAAATGGGGATGTTGTCAAGTTGTTCTTTATTGTTTATAAATAAATAGTTATCTTTTAGCTCCCAATTATCAGTAGCAGGACATGGAAATTGTGCAAATGACTACATGATAAACTGAAGCTGTATTGTAATTAATAGATGCATTGACAGATTTAGTCGTCACGTAGTTAATTTTGAAGAAAGCGTATTAATCTAACAGTGATCCAGGTCATCACAGACTACTTTATAAACACAGAGAAACACCTGGCTGTACACAGAATCTATGAGGGGAAAAAATAACTTTATTTAATTCAGCAAACAAATAACAAAAAATAAATAAATAAAAAGAAAAAACAAATAATAATAGAAACAAACAAATAATTAGACAATGTTATGTTAAAAAAACATGATCACAACATATTCAAATGAAAAGGAGCAGAAAGAAGAATAAAATCTAACATCTGCCCCAGTAAAAAATATGTATCTAAAAAACGTACAACATACAAAAAATAAAACTCAACTTAATACACAATATAATTTAAAATAACAACTTCACAACAAAAGTACAAATATCAACCAAATCTTTGTTCATATCTCATTAAAAAAAAACTTTTAATCATTCTACTAAATGAATAAATTGTTCCAGCATTCTTAAGGTCACCAAGTACTGACTTTATTCTCATAATATTACAACTTTATTCGCATATTATGACTTTATTTTCGTAATAATAATAAAAAATATGTGTTATCTCCGTTGTAGATACTGGAGCTAAACCCAAATTATTGTTTTCTTTATTTACGTTTACCTTTTTAACTGTGAATTTATTCTTCCAGTAAAAAGACGTGTAAACACGTCCCGAAGCATTTTAAGTCCGACATCAAACTGATCACTATGGTAACGGGGGAGCACGTGGTCACGCAAACCCACGTGAAGCCGACGTCAGGCGAAGGCTGGACCGTCTCATTTCGCAGCAGTTTTGAGCATCCTACCCGGCCCAGCAAGGATGTGGCCTACGTGGCCCAGCTAGGCTGAGTCCTCATGAGGACCCAGCCCATGAATTGAGACACAGCCAAAGTGTGGCTTATGTAACAGAACTACTTGCCATACTTGGACCTCTCATCTCTCTTTGCTGCAGCTGTTTGTGGTCAGCAGCACCGTAAGTTTTTTCTTCCACACAGCTGTTTGGAAACAAACACCAGATATTTGCTTCATGTGCTGTGTTTGGTGTAGAGTGTTTTTATTTAGCTTGGCTTGGACATCCAGTTCCTGGGATGATTGTCAGCTGTCTTAAATGATTTCCACTTGTAGATATTCTTTCTCTCTGGACTCCAAATAGTTTGGAATTGACCTTTAACCCTTTACAGATTGATAGGCAACAACAGCTGTTTCTCAGAGGTCATTGCTGATGTCTTACATACAGCTGGATGCTTCAGAGGAGCAAACTGACAAAACTCCTGCTTTTATAGAGACAACTCTCACTGATGATGATCAATACATGTAATCAGCATCACAGGTTTATACCAAACTGTGAAGAAACACGACTGGACACAATTTTCACACACCAGTTTAATGTTTTTGGTTTTTGTTTAATAAATTATGACATATTGGAGTCTGTTGTGTGTTTTTGTACATTTGAGGATTCGATTTGAATAATTTCAGAACTTGGGAAACACCAGCTCATTTAAATTACCTCCTGATTTGTTAAACCCTTGAACTGAAAGAGCATGTATTGTCTTGTTCCTATGCTAACTTCTAAAATTGGCATAACAATAATCATCAACCAGTGTTTATTTATAGAGCTCTTTCCAACAGCCAAAAGGTGCACAAAGTGCTTCACACTACAAAATTTAAAAACAAACAATACAAAAATGCCAGAAAGCCATTAAGTATTAAAAGCTTGCCTGAATAAAAAGGTTATACGATTAGATTTAAAAAGGCCCAGATCAATAAGGGAGCATGTCTTCACGTTGGTTCCGTGGTCTAGCTGCAGCGACCCAAAAGGCCCGGTCACCCCAACGTTTCTACTGTATTTAGATTTTGTTTTTAGAGTTGATTTTAAAGTTGTTTTATACTCTAGAAAAGCTACTAAATCAGTTAAGAAATGGGATGTGAAACTGTTATGAGCTTTAAAAGAGAATAATAAAAGTTTTAAACCAATTCTAAAATGGACCAGACGCTGACGGAGAGAGAAAAAAACAGGGGTGGCGCGATCTCATCTGGGAGTGTTGGACCATTTTGGACCATTTGAAGACATCTGATGGAGGATTGGGAGATTCCTACACACAATGATAATATAATATTGAAAAGTTGGTATGTGTGTGTGTGTGTGTGTGTGCCTCAGGTCTGGTGACTCAACAGCTCGGATCTGGAACCTGAGTGAGAACAGTACAAGCAGCTCCACACAGCTGGTTCTGAGACACTGCATACGAGAGGGAGGACAAGACGTTCCCAGCAACAAAGATGTCACCTCATTAGACTGGAATGTAAGTACACACACACACACACACACACACACACACACACACACAC